GGTCCACAGTCTCTCATGCCATGTGCCACTTTCAGGTCTCCTCACACTGCTGGTGTGTTGAATTTTTTGACATAGGGTGCTGGCAGATTACGGCCTCCCATAGCTGCTGCCAGGCCCCTAATCTGCCATGGGCCCCTATATACCGCCTCCTCATGCTACTGCCAGTCCAGAGTCTCTCATGGGTCCCTGTACGGCCTCCCATTGCTGCTGTCTCCATCGCCACACTCTGCCATGTGCCACTTTAAGGTCTCCTCACACACAGTCTCTCATGCCATGTGCCACTTTCAGGTCTCCTCACACTGCTGGTGTGTGTTGAATTTTTTTGACATAGGGTGCTGGCAGATTACAGGCCTCCCATAGCTGCTGCCAGGCCCCTAATCTGCCATGGGCCCCCTATATACGCCTCCTCATGCTGCTGCCAGGTCCAGAGTCTCTCATGGGTCCCTGTACGGCCTCCCATTGCTGCTGTCTCCATCGCCACACTCTGCCATGTGCCACTTTCAGGTCTCCTCACACACTGCTGGTGTGTTGAATTTTTTGACATAGGGTGCTGGCAGATTACGGGCCTCCCATAGCTGCTGCCAGGCCCCTAATCTGCCATGGGCCCCTATACCGCCTCCTCATGCTGCTGCTGCAAGTACGTCCACAGTCTGGTGCTCTCTCCATCGCCACACTCTGCCATGTGCCACTTTCAGGTCTCCTCACACATGCTGGTGTGTTGAAATTTTTTGACATAGGGTGCTGGCAGATTACGGGCCTCCCATAGCTGCTGCCAGGCCCCTAATCTGCCATGGGCCCCTATACCGCCTCCTCATGCTGCTGCCAGGTCCAGAGTCTGTCATGGGTCCCTGTACGGCCTCCCATTGCTGCTGTCTCCATCGCCACACTCTGCCATGTGCCACTTTCAGGTCTCCTCACACACTGCTGGTGTGTTGAATTTTTTGACATAGGGTGCTGGCAGATTACGGGCCTCCCATAGCTGCTGCCAGGCCCCTAATCTGCCATGGGCCCCTATACCGCCTCCTCATGCTGCTGCCAAGTCCAGAGTCTGTCATGGGTCCCTGTACGGCCTCCCATTGCTGCTGTCTCCATCGCCACACTCTGCCATGTGCCACTTTCAGGTCTCCTCACACACTGCTGGTGTGTTGAATTTTTTGACATAGGGTGCTGGCAGATTTTCCCATAGCTGCTGCCAGGCCCCTAATCTGCCATGGGTGGCCCTATATACGGCCTCCTCATGCTGCTGCCAGGTCCAGAGTCTGCTCATGGGTCCCTGTACGGCCTCCCATTGCTGCTGTCTCATCGCCACACTCTGCCATGTGCCACTTTCAGGTCTCCTCACACTGCTGGTGTGTTGAATTTTTTGACATAGGGTGCTGGCAGATTACGGGCCTCCCATAGCTGCTGCCAGGCCCCTAATCTGCCATGGGCCCCTATACCGCCTCCTCATGCTGCTGCCAGGTCCAGAGTCTCTCATGGGTCCCTGTACGGCCTCCCATTGCTGCTGTCTCCATCGCCACACTCTGCCATGTGCCACTTTCAGGTCTCCTCACACACTGCTGGTGTGTTGAATTTTTTGACATAGGGTGCTGGCAGATTACGGGCCTCCCATTGCTGCTGCCAGGCCCGTAATCTGCCATGGGCCCCCGTACCGACTCCTCATGCTGTGACGTTGCAACAAGGTGGAATTCAACCCTACATATGTTAGACCGCCTTTACGAACAGCAAAGGCCATCACAGATTTCCTGATGTTAAAAGCGGATAAAGGTACTCCCTGTGTAACTTAGATGTCAGCCATTGGCAGCTCATGCGTGACACCTGCGCTTGCTCAGGCCCTTTGAGGAGGCCACGCTATTCGTGAGTCGGCAGGACTATGGGATGAACGACGTCATTCCTCTGTTGCACGTCCTGGAACAAATGCTGTTAATAATGGCTGGTCAGGGTGCGGTAGACGTGGCGCACAGATCTCAACGCCACATGACCCCTGTGGGGGCAGGACAGGAAGAAGAGGAGGAGGTAGAGGAGGACATTGGTGCTCAGGAATTATTGAGTGAAATGGGTGGTTTTTCCACTCAGCGGACAGGAGTGGAGGAGCAGGAGCATCTGGTAGAGGAGGAGGAAGAGGAGACAGAGGACCCAGACGCACCGTGGCAGTATGCTGTGGAGATGGAGGCAGGGAGTCCCTCGCATTCCTTGGCACAAAATGGCCCATAGCATGCTCGCTTGCTTGCGTACCGACAGCCGAATAATAACCATCAGACAGAGGGATGACTTTTGGCTGTCCACCTTGTTGGACCCTCGCTACCGTTCCAAAATGGTGGCCTTTTTCACACCTGCTGAGAGGGAGGCCAAAATAACGTACTATAAAAAACCACCTATGTAGTCAGCTGGTCTCTGCCTGTCTGCGCCAACGTCCATCCTCAGACACTGTGGGCCCTGTGCGCTCGCGTTACGCTGCCATGGCAGCAGGGGAGGGGTGGGGTGGTAGGAGCAGTGGCAGCTCCACCAGCAGCAGCTGCCTCAGTCTGCAGTCGATGATGAGTAGCTTTCTTCACCAGCGCAGTGAGGAAACTAATAACCAGCCGCAGCAGCAGCAGCATCAGGTGGACCTGGAGCAGGACCTCAAACAACAGGCTTAGGCCTACTTGGACAGCACCCTGCCAACCGAGGTAGACAATCCCCTTGACTACTGGGCAACGAAACTTGACCTTTGGCCCCAACTAGCTGAATTTGCCCTTGAAAGGCTGTCATGCCCGGCCAGTAGCGTGGCATCGGAGCGCGTGTTTAGTGCGGCAGGAGGTATTGCAACTCCGCGGAGGACACGACTGTCCACCCAAAGTGTGGAGAGACTCACGTTTGTGAAAATGAATCAGGCGTGGATTAGTCTGGATTTCAAACCACCAGTTCCTGACACAACTGACTAAATCCGCCATGAATCATGCCCCAAACATGTGCCACTTTCAGGTCTCCTCACACTGCTGGTGTGTTCCATTTTTTGTCATAGGGTGCTGGCAGATTACGGGCCTCCCATAGCTGCTGCCAGGCCCCTAATCTGCCATGGGCCCCTATACCGCCTCCTCATGCTGCTGCCAAGTCCAGAGTCTCTCATGGGTCCCTGTACGGCCTCCCATTGCTGCTGTCTCCATCGCCACACTCTGCCATGTGCCACTTTCAGGTCTCCTCACACTGCTGGTGTGTTGAATTTTTTGACATAGGGTGCTGGCAGATTACGGGCCTCCCATAGCTGCTGCCAGGCCCCTAATCTGCCATGGGCCCCTATACCGCCTCCTCATGCTGCTGCCAAGTCCAGAGTCTGTCATGGGTCCCTGTACGGCCTCCCATTGCTGCTGTCTCCATCGCCACACTCTGCCATGTGCCACTTTCAGGTCTCCTCACACTGCTGGTGTGTTGAATTTTTTGACATAGGGTGCTGGCAGATTACGGGCCTCCTATAGCTGCTGCCAGGCCCCTAATCTGCCATGGGCCCCTATACCGCCTCCTCATGCTGCTGCCAGGTCCAGAGAGTCTCTCATGGGTCCCTGTACGGCCTCCCATTGCTGCTGTCTCCATCGCCACACTCTGCCATGTGCCACTTTCAGGTCTCCTCACACACTGCTGGTGTGTTCAATTTTTTGTCATAGGGTGCTGGCAGATTACGGGCCTCCTATAGCTGCTGCCAGGCCCCTAATCTGCCATGGGCCCCTATACCGCCTCCTCATGCTGCTGCCAGGTCCACAGTCTCTCATGGGTCCCTGTACGGCCTCCCATTGCTGCTGTCTCCATCGCCACACTCTGCCATGTGCCACTTTCAGGTCTCCTCACACACTGCTGGTGTGTTCCATTTTTTGTCATAGGGTGCTGGCAGATTACGGGCCTCCCATTGCTGCTGCCAGGCCTGTAATCTGCCATGGGCCCCCGTACCGCCTGGTCACGCTGCTGCTGGGTCCACAGTGTGACATGGGTCCCTGTACCGCCTCCCATTGCTCCCACTCTGCCATGTGCCACTTTCAGGTCTCCTCACACTCCTGTTGGTTTCCATTTTGTCATAGGTTGCTGGCAGATTACAGGCCTCCCATAGGTGCTGCCAGGCCCCAAATCTGCCATGGGCCCCCGTACCGCCTGGTCACGCTGCTGCTGGGTCCACAGTGTGACATGGGTCCCTGTACCGCCTCCCATTGCTCCCACTCTGCCATGTGCCACTTTGAGGTCTCCTCACACTCCTGCTGGTTTCCATTTTGTCATAGGTTGCTGTATGGCCTCCCATTGCTGCTGCCTCCACCGCCACACTGTGGCTCCAAACACTGGTTTTGGCCCCGTGACTGGCCAAATGAGTGAAGTGTGCGGTGATTCTAAGATCGACGGCACTCATCTGCATGTCATACTGACTGACAGTATTATTTCTCTTCCCCAGCAGACTCCAAGGGCATTTAAATTAAAGGTACAGTGTTCTGCACTAATATTAAGTCTCTCTGAAGCCTAGAAACACCCTTTTTTAAGTTAAATTCACAGCGAATATATTCGACTCGAATCTAATATTGTCCACGAATTCGCCCGAATCAGTCGAATCGAATTTTTGAATACTTCGCTCATCTCTATTAGACATGTTTAATAGCAAAAAGTCAAAAATATAGTTTTTTTCCGCAAAATTGTTTTTTTTTTTTTTATAGCACAAAAAATAAAAACTGCACAGGCGATCAAATACCACCAAAAGAAAGCTCTATTTGTGGGGGAAAAAGGATGTAAATTTTGGGTGCATTGCACAATGGGTGCTGCAATTGTCAGTTAAAATAATGCAGCGCTGTAACACAAAAAATGGCCTGGTCAGGAAGGGGGGGGGGGGGGGTAGATCCTCTGGAGGGCAAGTGGCTAAAAAACTGACTTTAGTAACACTTTAATAGTAAAGCAGATAAATATTTTAAAAATACACCGTATTTTTTTTTTATACGTGGTATAAACTGTGTGCAGGAATTAAAATGTGTGTAAGGAGTTTAGTGCTAGAATAAACTGAACAGAAACTCCGAGACAGCATCATCTTATCAGAGTTTCCCTGAAGTATCAATTTATCAGTATAATTCAATAACAAAATAAAACCCACTAAACAAACCTTCTCAAAACCCAAGGCAAGATAAAGTATCAATAAAAAAATTGTAAAAAAATAGTAGTTTCTTTGCTTATAATTAGAATGATTTTATTCATCAGCCAGAGATCTTGATATTACATTGGATTATTGGATATTACAGGTTGTGGCCTACACAGTTTCCATAACAACCAATAGTACTGTTGTACTTTGCTCATTCTTAGACTGAATCTCTCCAAGCTAAATTGGCTCATAATATACAGTGTGACAGCTCCAAATAGCTCTGCTTTAGTTGCCTGATGGGCTGTCAATATTCAGTACACCTCAACTGTTATCGAGGAAACCAAAATACTTAGTGTCTGCTTTCCACTACACACTGACTACAAACAAGGACTGGGGGTGTATTCCTACTGTAGCAAAGGTGTCAGGGCTCCAGGTATGACCAGAGATGTGTGGACTGACACAGGAAAACACAGGCTCCAGGTATGGTATAAACAATACAATTCATTAAAGACTAAACAATACATAAACACAGTGCAACCAAACCTCCAACAGATAACAATAAGAACAATACTAAATGTAGTCGGGCAGGCCGGGTCGGTAGCAAACGGGCAGGCAAGGTACAAGGAGCAGGCGGAAGAGTAGTCAGGAATAGCCGAGGTCAGGACAGGCGGAGTTCATTCGGAGTCAGGATCAAGCAGAATCAGGAATCAGGCAGGAAGCAGACAGGATGTAGGTACAGGGGCTCATGGGAAACATACACCAAGGCCCTGATCACAGGCCTGGTCCTGCTTAAATACACCTCCTGCAATCAGCTTCAGGTGATGGCCTGATTGCAGGAGTGAGATTCTGGCTGCTGAGAGCACCCGCTGGCCAGCCTTGGTACTGCAGCCCACAAGGCAGGTGAGTCCCACCACCATTGGCAAGTCCATTCCTGACAAAAGGAAACTGACTATTTTTATCTCACTGACATCAGTGCCTAAGGGGTGTGGGGATGGTCTTTTATTACTAGAACCAGTGTCCAAAAATAGTCCCCATCAAAATGCATGCCAAACCCTTTGAGTCTGGTATGGATTTTAAGGGGTTACCTCATACAAGAAAAAAAAATGCACGTGGCCCCTCTCTCGGGACTGCGGCGGCATTCTGACACGGGGGAGCTGACTTGGTGTCACTGACATCCCCAGTGACACCAATACAGTGAGCAGTGCTAATAAAAGTACTGACACTGTACTAATGGCACTGGGCAGGAAGGGGTTAACATGTGGGGCAATCAAAAGGTTAACTGTGTACTGTTTTACTATGAGACTGTGCGCTGTGTTTCACTGTAAGCACACTGCTTTGTATGGCTCTGCTATGCAGAGCCATACAAAGCAGTGTGCAGGAACTGACAGGGAAGAGATCTGTGTTGTTTATACACAGGTCTCTCCCCCCTGTTGGAGATACTCAGAGATCACCGGGTGCTGGCGAAAAATCATCGGCAAGGACCTGGTGATTGAAAGCCAAG